ACGCTCCACAAATACACTGCTGCCCCTGATCAGTTTGCCTTTACTGCATATAAACATGTTATTGTTAGAATTGCAAATACAGTTTTATAGTAGTGGTAGTTTTCTGAAGCCCTCTGTATTTTGAACATGTATAGCATGTCATTCTATATTTAACCCCAACCTTTACTTATTGACTTGACTAAGCCATTGCATGGGATGTACCACTGACAGCTACAAGTGGCACCTGACATGAATAAATCCTTCCAGCAGCTAGAAAAGGACAGCACAAAGGCTCTGATCATGGCGGCACAGGAAGCACCAGATGGATGTATGCAGGAGTCTACCGCAGGCGACAGGACCCAGACTGATGCCCCAGAGACAGTCCAGCACATAGTAGCAGGATGTAAGAGGCAAGCCAGGACACCGTACACTGGGAGGCACAACTAAGTGGAGGGAATAGTGTACAAGAGCATACAGAAGTTCCCAAGTCCTAATGAGAGACACCACCAAACGTGGTTGGAAACATCATGGCTAAGGTCTTGTGGGACTTCAAGTTCTAGACAGACAAGCAGCTGCGGGCCAATCAATCAGACTTGGTGGTGGTTTACAAAGAGCAGAAGACCATAGTTGTGATAGATGCGACAATCTCAGTGGTCAGTAACATCAGGAAGAAAGAGCACAAGATAATAGAAAAGTACAACTAGAGCACATCCGCTCTAGCTAAAGTCCAAAGTGGTCCCAGTGGTAATGGGAGAACTGGGATCTGTAAACTGTATGTAAGCTGTAAACTGGAAGATGGTCTCCAGCAGATTTGAGACACAACACCTGAGGTCCAGAGGAGTGCAGTGAGCTAAGACATTGCGCAGAACCCTCAAATTCCTAGGTCTCTGGTAGAAGACCCAAGATAAGAAACACACACACGTCCCTTATGGGATCTTCTCCTGACTAATGAGAACTCCAATTTTGCTATTTCAGATACCTTTTAAAGTTGTTAGCAACCTAAATTGATTTTTATAAGCAGACTTCCACTGCCAGTAATGAAAATAAAACGAGTGTAACCCGATGACAATTTGTAGAAAAACCCTGGAAGCTCCCAGAAAATCTCTCAACTCACTGCACAACCATGTAGTAGTGTTTAAGAAACTCTGCCCATTGCGCTTCCTCCACCGAGGGCGGTATTTCTGCTGTTACATCAATGTTGCTGTGCTTTAGAACACTGAGAAACTCTTGACACACGTGTAAGGCTGTGTTAATAATTTCTGGACCAACAGATCGATGCTCCTCATTATCCAACTCTGTAGAGAGAGAGAGAGAGAGAATATTGCACCGTTATACTCCCTCTTGTCCAAACTTTGCATCAAAAGCATTTTTATTCCTATGTGTGAGAAATTATTTCTAAACCTTCAGCGAGACTGTTCTTGGATTTTTGTTTGTCCCCCTCTGGTTCATCTCTTCTCCAAATACTTGTCTCAACCACATACTGCAGCAGACTGGTACATGCTGTTCTCCTGAAATCCTCTTTATGTTCATAAAAAAGAGAAAAACAGTCAGAGAAGCTATTGGACATAAGTAAACTTAAAAATTCTTTGCACCTAAATTACACCTCATTTAGTCTTGTAGAACATCTTTTTTTCTGTTATATGTAATTTACAGCAGACCTATGAATGCATGCTTTTCATCCTCTGCTCCAAGCCTGTAGCATCTTGGGAAGAAAGTGTCTGGATCCGCTGTGTCAAACCACTGAAGGTTACGCAGATTCACACAAAGTCCCACCTGAAAACAAAACAATTACACTGCAGGAAAAGAGCTAAATAAAATGTATGCGCCAGCTAATCATTAGAAACGTTTTACCTTTGTGGTAAATGTTCCAGCATTCGCATAGTGATTGGTCATCTGGTCGTGCCGCAAGGAGCGACAGTCTATGTTGTCCCGTCGTGTCGTCCAGTAGAAATACGTTGTTTCATTTCGAACAAGGCGAGACTACAAGAGTCACAACAAAGACACAAGTGAAAGTCCCTTTGGCTTTACACTGGGCAAGATATCTGTGTTAAGTTAGTGGGTACACCTAAAGCTTATCTTACCATGAGATCATACATGTCATCAAGGTTTTCCCCTTTCTCGCCTTCCTCCGCTCTCTCTGTCACAAGATAAGAGGTGTGTGTATACATGCATGGTTACAGGTGTTAGAGGCTAGCATCTGTAATGCAGCATACGATTTCTTGTTTACCAGCTAAAGGGAAATCCATCTAACTTGTGTTACAATTACTCTCTGTTAATTATTCCCACACTTAGAGGGGGGCAATCCTTTCTCTTTTTGGCCTTACCAGTAAAATAACTGCAGATCAGCCCATCATTACCATCCCCCTCCTCAACGCAGGGGTAAGTAGGTGATCTTTGGACGGGATGTGGCAAACGACGTTCAACCCACCCTCTGGCCCATAATGCAGCACGGATCACTGGATAGGGTCCCTGCACTGAAAACACTTTCCTTAACTGAGAATGACGGGAAGAGAAACGAAGAAAAAAAATATGACACAATCAACTGTGGCATTACAATAAAAATCTGTTTTTACATATGATCACCTTCACAGCTTTGTCCACCAGCGTTTTAGCTGTTTTCAGCCTGTCTGGATTGATCACTGGCAGGCTACGTACACTGGATCGTATCCTTCCCCCCACTGGAGCAACTGTGGATTGTAACACTGGAACAAACTCCAGATTTAAATATGAAGTACTAATTATGTTTTTACCAGCAGATGTACAATGACTTACCTGGCATTTGTCGCTGAGGTCTGTAGGTCTCTTTTCAACTGACCAATGCACAATGTGAAAGAGAAAGCAAAAATGCACCCAGTTGCACTATTTTTACATCATATTATAGGATTTGAAATTATACAGATCTATGAATAGCAAGCTAATATAAGTAGATCCAAATTTATAGGGACATTATTCCAATATCCAAATATACCTTTTCACTGTAGACCTAAACATGCTGTTTAGGCTACTGGCTACTGTTTCCCCTGCAGCTGAAAAATAGAGGAGGCTTTACTATAAATAGTATGGCATGTGGTACCTAAATTTGTCTATGCAGCAGCTGAAGAAGGATGTAAATTGGGTTAATCAGGCATCTTAATCTGAACTGATTTAGGCTGTGATGACTGGCAGAGCTACGCGCAAGAAGGGCGCAGGTGCGCGCACACGAGTAGAAACATAAAACGAATACACCATGACCAGCCGTGGATTGATAAGCCAACTCTCCATGATTTAAATAAGCGATTAAAAAGGCATAACGAATAAATTAATCTCAAATAAAACCAGGTGTTATTTTACAGTGGACATGAATATACAAACCTCTGTTGTCACTTCCCCACTGAACTGGGCTGTATCTGTATGCGTCCATAGACTTGCTCAGTCCGGCTTCCTTCATGCTGCCGCACACTGTTCCCATAACAACCGTGCATGCTCCCACAGACAGTTTATAGTTGCCCCAACAACAGTGTCCAGGAGAAACAGGACGCCACGCCGGTGGATGAAAAATCCACCACCTTGAGGCATGCCTTGAAGAAACTGGATCACTATCGGACACTATCAGTTGCAAACAGCGTGGCTTACAGGTGTATGCGACATGCACACGGACAATTAAGGCACTCATACATGATATGTGTGTGGAAATATCCCGTTGCAGTTGCACTTTGAATTCAGTGTGAATGGACAAAGTGGTTAAAGAGGGTCAGCTTGCCAAAATTCAATACAGTGCTCTGCAACGTGACTGGTAGGCAAGAGTTCATGCCGAGGTCAATGATGGAAAAAACAAACAAACAAAAACTGTTGCTTTTATTGCCTGGTTAATTAAATCGTATCTCCTTATCTATCAATAAAGATTAACATGTTGCGTAGGTAAAGGAACCCATCTGTGCTACATCGTAAATAACTGCCTTCAATGGTAAATTATGTCATTTACTACGCATGGATCTTTCTTTGCGTAATGCATCAGCTTAACACACGATGGCATCCGAAGACTTCTGGTATATTCTGGATCAATCAGATTCTGAAGGTCTGTGTTCGTTCAAGCCGGTGCGCCAAGAAGGCAACACTAGCGTCTGTTACAGCCTAATATTATGTTACCAATCTGCGTATTTTGTAACCCGAAACCCGCAGTCACAAAGTTTAGTCCAGGTAGAGTGGTTTGCTACTGGACTACATGAAAACATTTATTCTACTGCATGAATTTCATTGTTAGGTTGGAAATTTTTACGCCTTTTCCTACAAAGATCAGTCTCTTAAAATTAATTCAACTGGTAAAGATGAAGCTTTACCCAAATATGATTTCTAGACAGGATGAAATGCATCTGAAATGACAGTTAACCGTTTTTAACAGCTTTGTAATTGAAAAAGAGGAACACATGAGTGAACGACTTTTTTTGCATATTGCATATTGTTATATTTTCGTAAATGGTACGTACATTTATGCATATATGATACAGCAGCCTTCACGTGATATGCCAGACTTTTAACCTGCATGTTTTTTGTTTTGTTTTTTGTGGATTTCAGTATTTCAGACCACTTACTAGCATTAGTAAGATGTGCGTCGTTGTCCCATTAAAACATACCAGCTTCACATTTAGTTTGGTGGGATCTGCGCTACAGTAAGTAAATAAAGTTTATTAATTAAACGTTTTTCACAGACAGAAAGCTAACATACGCACAATAAACAGGAGAAGCACCAATGAACTTTAAACAAGATAAATAATGTTAGTATAAATTATTGTGTAGGTTGAGTTATTTGTCATATTAAGATTATGCAGTCGTTTTAGACGGAATTGAACCTTTTGCTGTACACAGTAGTCGCACAACCGGAAACTGCTGGAAAGAACACTGTAAAGAAGCTCTGTAGGCTCATAATAGTCTTGGCTTCAACGTGTTGGTAGCAGCAATGCGTCGCAGCTCGTTGCTTACCTCTGCGCTCTGATTGGATGGGGCTGCAGTGATGCTCTCCGCATCCTGCTTTCACACAGCTACAGCAGGAGGGAGGGGAGCTCGAAGCGCGACTGGGAAATCATCTCAACACAGGAGCAAAATAACAGTTTTCTTCGCTTTAGTCCTTTGAGATAGATGTAAACACTTAATATGGCCGCAGAAACAAAGGGAGCTGATGTAGCCCATTCGTGACTGTTCACTCAAAACGTCCGAAAACAGCGCAAAGCGGCTCAGTGAAAGTCTTACTTTACACTCCGTGAAGGTAAAGCAGGATAACCAGGAGACCATGAGCGCGCAAGTCAACGACCCCGAGAGTATACTGTGCTACCAGGTAAAGTGGATTTTTACTGTGTGCTGCATTGCTTTGACACTGTGGGCTGGCACTGAGCAGGGTGCACACAACCTCGGACAATTGTAGTCCCATGCTTCGAGATTCTCTCAAACTCAAAGATTGAGAGCACTCCGGAAGGTTTATAATATTATTTTTATTTCGTTATTCTACCTAAACATTTTAATGGTTAAGAGACCTCAGTAAAACATTTTGTATGATGTTAAGGTGTGTTTCCTGCCCTACAGGATGATGCTGTAATCGGGGGATGTTGTTGATGTTGTTCTGAGTTGCGAACACGTGCACTGATTCCGGAGAGCATTGAAATGCGCAGAGGGGTCGTAGCTCCTGGGACTAACGCACAAGAATACATGAAGGATTGCGTTCTGGAAATGCCGTGGACACGGTGCTGTGAGAGTGCAGCAGATTATTGATTAGATATTTTCCTCCTGTCCAACACAGCGCTCATTAAAAACTGCTGGTCCGAACGACGCGTGTGCACGAGGCAGAATAAAAGGAAGAGATGTGTGGTGGATTTTCTGCTGACTTTTAGTTGAACGGCGTGTTATTTCTGCTTAGTTACCCTCAAATGACCTTGACGCCATTCTCACATGGTGTTCTATAAAGAGCCGAGGGTCTGTTTCCATACAGGCAGAAGGGGGACAGCTTGTGGGAAAGCTGTGGTTTGAAGGGGAAATTGTCTTGATCCAGTGTCCTGCTGATGTGCATGTGTCATGTCCTCTAACAGAATCTCAGTAGCAGTATGGATAAGAAAGCCAGTGAGCACACCAGGCTTCATTCAAACTGACAATCATTAACATTTGAACAGACTGATTATAACCACCCTGGCATGCAGTTGGGCAGCTTAATGGACTTGATGCAGCCTGCCCTAACAGTCATGTCACCCTTTTGATTCATAGCATCCTGTCTGGGCCAGAGACAGATGGAGTAAGACCAGAGGTGAGCTGGGAAGTCTCTGACATGATTAGCCAGCTTTCAGTAAGGGAGAGGAAATGGCCAGAAGCTCTTCAAATATTAGCGTTATCTAAGCTTGTGTTAAAATCTGTATAATTGTCTCTCCACCATGTCTGCGATGTGTTGTGGACCTTTGCATTTCATACCACCTGCAACCTGTTGATTTCTCACACGGTGCTGCTGATGGGGCTCAGGTGGTGGGAAAAGAGAGGTAATTTCTTTTAGGAAAATGCAAAATGTAAAAATGGATAACAGCAGTAAGGCTGGGAATAGAACAATTTCACTTAGATATATCTGCATGATTCAAAGATACGTTGATGAAGGGTTAATTATTACATTATTAATAATAACAATTAATGTAATAATTAATAAGTATTAATGTTTCCTTGCCATAAAAGGCGAATAATGTCAGCTTCCACGTTTAATCTATGATACTGCATTATATATATATAAATATTTTTTAGAGGTTTGTTAATTTTTTTTTAAAATATTTGGTTTAGATACAAAGTAACTACATATACAACTACTGGAAAAAGTACAAATCAGTTGAAGCTGAAGTGCAACCGTGGAAGAATATGGATATAGGACTGGACAAACAGATGTTGTTGTATCAAGCAAATTGTCAGTTTTATATATGTGTCTTTCTCCAAGTACTAAACAGGCGAGGTAATGTCACGCTTGGGAAATAATTATTGTGTAAATGTTATCAGATACTCTTTACTGATTGCATAAATTGACTTTTTAGTCCATTCGCCCCATGCAGCCAAATTTGATCTCACAACTAGCTCAACCTTTGCATAGAACAAAGAGCAACTTGAACTTAATTAATAAACTACTATGTTTTAAGAAAAATAAGTGAAATTTCACAAAATGTCCACATTCAGCCAGTGTGCTGCCATTGCAAAGAACTCTAAGGTCCAAAATGAGTGAAATGCATCATGACAGCTACTCCGGTTAACTGTCACCGGGATGTTGGTCAAAAGCTTCTAATTGTCTTTTCAACAAAAGATTGTAAAGCTGACAATGACTCAGACCTCCATCTTTGCAAAGCCCTTTGAGGACTGGATTAAATCTTCTGGCAGGGTGGTTTTGGTCCATGGGCTGTATTTTGGACACCCTTAGTTTAACCACTGATAAAGTTTAGTCTTACTGTTACAAACTTGAGTGCTTCATTTTAGTAGGCACAGTGTAATTTTTTTTAGTGCCATTCATGCACTGCGTTTGCAGTACCTGCAATAAAGGAAAGTATTGTATTGATTGAGACGACTTAATTTTCCCTCACTACTTTCATTTATCTAACAGAAATGTAAATCAATAAATCCAAATACCAGCAAAAACAAGCCTACAGACACAGTCAAAACAAACTGCAATGACTTCCAGATCTCTAACTAAACCAACTAAACAGGTATTCATTTTCAAATGTTCACAGTATCACTCCCAGGCCTGCTACTATAAGTGATTTTCAGTTACAGTTAATAAGTTAGTGCTCTCCACATCGTGCATTTGTCTGCATTTTAAGCCCATCAAGCACAAAACTGTCACAGTTCCCAGTTTAGTCGCTTTACGGCAACTATTTGGCATCGGCCCCAAAGTTTCATTTTAATTAGTTAAGTGGTATAGAATCCATTTAGTGACCGTGATCAATAAGCCCCCATCTAATGAATGAATGTGTACTTTAAAGAGCAACATTCTAGTTTCCAAAAGTCTCCACGTTATGTGAAAACTGTACTAAAACTCTCATTTTTAAGGCGCTCAATACATTATTATAGTAATGAGGCATGACCAGCACGTCCAATTATTGGCAGCCATTTAGTTTGAAAGAGCGTGTATAATCACAGATATGTGAAAAACTCTTCAAAAATTAGGAAATGGTGTAGAAGAGTCTTTGGGAATCATTTGGTCCCCTGGACTTTGGCACTAGTATTTATTTATTTATTTCAATTTTTGGGCCAGATGACTGAGAATTAGTTAAAAACGCAAAACTCAGTGCTCAGCCCGCTTTAGTGTTTGCTTTTGATTATTTAACCTTATTGTGTACTATATTGTAGAAGGTGTGATTTTTAATTACAGTATATATTACAGTCTTTTACCCACACAGCCATTTGAGCTGGCAGTAATCTTTCTAGAAGGAAAATAATTAGAGAGAGAGCTACAGGGAGGCTGAATTCAACATGTGAATAAGGTGTGTATGAGTCATGCTACTCGTGGGCTGATACAGTCAAAACAGCCGTCCCTCTCATCCTACCTCCCCCAGCTCTCTCTTTTCCTCTTTCACTCTTTCACCATTACCTCTTCCTCTCCACCATTCATGTTCATCCCCTTCTCTTAGTGAAGCGCTGTCACATGCGTCTGCACCAGATCTGTAATGTCACCGTGCTATGGACACGTTTAAATAACCTGGGGCTATGGCGCCAAGTGCCAATCCAGGCTCTCAGAAACAAAGCTCAATCTGGAAGTGACAGACCCAGTTGTCTGAGTCAGGGCGTATATCCCTGCTGTCAATTCAGAGTGCTTGTGTGTGGGGAATAGCGCAGAGGGGTCAGCATTGAAAAGGGAGGTGGGGTGTTGTTGGAGTTTGAAGATAAAAATAGGAGACGCCAGAGAAACACAGTTAAGGAGGAGAAGGGAAATTTTGTCTCAAAAGATTTGCTGAAAAACTTTTGTTACAGAGCGCGAAATCAATGTTATGATTGGTCAAGTCAGGAATGAAATCTCAAAAGACTTGAAAGTTCAGGCTTATTTTTGCAACAATTTTTTTGCTCATACGCGCATCATTTTCCTGCCTCTTGTGTTTTCAAAGCTCTCCATCAAGAGCTCAAAGTCTTTACAGTAGCCAGCGAGCTCTGACTCCACTCACAGCTCCTTTGCAGTCCCGTTGGAGTCAGAGAGCATTTTAGTGCCAAGCATCGATTGCCCCGCTCAGCTAGGACGCGGGGATTCAAATCATTGCTGCTCTACTTGTTCGGGACGATAAGCAGTTCAATATGTTGTTTTGTTTTTTATCCTCTTTGATGCTTTGACACCTTGTCAAATAATACTTATCTTAAAGATGACGTCCTGCATCACAGGCAGGTTTTATCAGCAGTCTAAGTAGGACATTCAACCCTGCTCTGGGAATCTGACATGTTTCTGGGACAGCCTGCTCGGCGTTTTCAGAGGTATCAAACTCACATTTCATTTTCATACTGAGACACTAGACTGAGGTGTTTAAAGTCATCAGCAGGTAGATCTTTGAAATTGGCTAAGTGTAATACATAGAATCATTTGTTTCCATTCTAACAGTTTGTCATTTACTAGGTGAACAAAAATATTATTTCATACCCTTTTAATATTTAAAAAATTCAAAGGGCATAAAACATCAGATTAATTCCCTGGAAAAGGCGCTGTCTTTTTTTCTACGCACAATTTTGCTTCTTAACATTACTGTCTCTTCACTGCACATCAACAAAAAGCTTCAGTAAAGTTAAAAAGACCATCCTTTAAAAAAGTCGCATTACTTTGGGAAAATCTGGAGGGCAAATACCTCTGATGTCCCAAGAAAGCAAAACATAGCTAGAGTTTATTTACAAAAATACAGCGCAGTTAAGTTCTGATCTTTTCCAGCTTTGAATTCACATGATATTTGAATTAACACTATCACGTCTTTTTAGTCACAAAGCAGCTTCGGTGAGGGTCGACTGTTTCCGCCGAGATGCTGGTAAAGGACAGAACCTCAAGGACAGGCAGCCATTTTGGCAGTGAACTGATCCTGTGGTACAGTCGTGCTAATCTGTTGGGGAAATTATTGAGCCATAATCCCACCTCAGTACGGTGGCAGATGTTGAGCTTGAGGAAAAGAGTAAAGAAAGAGGTCCGGTTGCCAGGATATAAAAACAGGCAGAATCACACAAATGACTTGCTCTGTCAGTGGAAAATTACGCACACGTGCGTGCTTTGAGGGTCACAGATGTGCTCCCACAGAGGGAACAAACAAAACTTTGAGTACCATGTGAGCCTTTAATTAGCTGAAGCATGTAACGTGACACAGG